GTGCGAGTGTGAGAGTCGAAACCTCTTCTAGCTAGCATTGGGTTTCGCGCCTCTGGCCTGAGGTGTATGGTCGCGTCACTGCAAGCTCTAGGGGCCATGAACTGTGTTTGTTATAGGTTCTCACATGCAGATCCTGCAGCCACGAAACTGCAGAATGCTCCTGGCTCTCGGCTGTATGCCCGGATTGTTCGGGAGCTCAGATTGACAAAAAACATATCAAGCACGCTGCCCTGCTCAACTTGTTGTTAATCTCGCCCTCTCTGTTGCTGTCGATCCGAGCCTGTCTCGCTCTCTCTTTCTTTGTCGCACTCTCTCCTTTGAAGTTTCTGGCCTCTCCCAAGAATGACTTACACGCTAGACATCGCTAGACAGTTGGCCAAGAACGGTCCTGTGTTCACAGCAGGGACACATTCTAGAGCAGTGATCCGTGATGGTCGAAGCTCGACAGCCCTTTGCAGTGCTTACTCTCTCTGGTGCTTAGTAGGGAATAGGGGAATGGATCCCTATGAAAGTCCCTTAAGGTCCCTTATAGAAGTCTCTATAACCCATTCCCCCATTCCCTACTAAAGACAGTACTTCGCCGGCCCATGTTTTGGCTCCTCAGGCCTCGTAACCCCTCGAAGGCCTCATATGTGCATTTGCCATGTTTGAGGGATTGCTTTTGATCTTGGTGAAAACCTAGGACCTAAGTCATGTGTTTCAGGCTTTGGACGGGCCCCATACGGTTGTCTTCGGAATTATGGTACCGGAGTAGGAGGATGCCACATTCACGTGTCGAAGGGCTGGGGGCTTCATTTGCCAGCATAGCTAGACTTCCATTTTGATTCGCTGCAGCTGGATGTGTTGCATATGCAGCTTGGCGGCACAGTTCATACGAAGTGTCGCCCCGAAGGACTTTAGCAGCTGGACCTGGGAATTAGAAATCACTCTGGCAGACCCGCGGCTTCCCGTCGCAGTCCCTTGCCTGAGGTACAGAATGCGGCCTGGAAATTTCAGGCTTTGCAGCAAGGGCCTCAGTACTCAGTGCCCCCACCCAAAGTCACAAGCCCGGGCAGAGGGCTCAACCATCGTTTTGGCAAGACTGCCGGCAGAACCAGCAGTTATGCAAGCGAGTCAAGCCTAGCGGCAACTTCGATAGTATGGCAGCGATGTAACTTGCGACGAGAAAGAAGCCTGTTCAGGTCAGAGTTCGCATGCTGAGGGCAATGCTACACGGGGATGCGGTCCTTCACCGTCTTGCGAATCTGGAATGCAGTTTCTGCTGGTCTATCAGTGGTCGCGTTTGTGTTTCTATGTGTTGGTTGCAAACCATTTCAATCCCTCGTCGGGCGAACTGCTAGAAGCAGTGCTTGTCTGCCAGTCTACTGGAAACAAACATGCCCCTGGAGCCAAAATCATCGGCACAGAATACTAAAGATGATAACAGCGATTATACTTATTCTATTCGGAACAAGGATTCAAATGATGATGATGATCATCATGATGATGAAAAAGAGGAAGATGATGATGATGTGGCGTGGCCGTGTGCAAGTAAGGCTGATGGATTGTCCATGCCTCCACGGTCCACCATTCGTAGCAACGCTTCACATGTAAGGCTGGGCCGGCACGCTGTGGCTGACGTCTCATGCAGCCTGAAGCTAAGCCAGCCCCCACAAGGATGCTAATTTGGGGATGCCTGCGGCTCTTGGGTGCTATGAGACAGATCCCGCAGTTGGTTCAGGTACTTGATGTACTATCATGTAGTAGTCGCGGCTTTCGGTGTGCTCCCAATACCATGTTTTCCTACTGTTTTTGCTGGAGCCTGGCTTAGCGGCTTCAAGCCTGGACTCCGGTAGCTGTTGGCTGAGCATGCAGTGATGAGCTCGCTGGTCAGGCAGCCGACCGCCTGCTGTGCGGAGTTGGCACCAACACCTTTGTTGACTGCCCACAATGCCTGGACTCGCACAGGGCTTCAGACTCAAGGTGTAGTGCCAGCTTGCATTTGAATGCGTGCGGTTGTGTGTTGTCTCCCCCTGAAGAAGGACAGTACAGTAGGATCAAGGCCAAGCACTGTCAGAACAGTGTATCATTGTCGCAGGAGACCAGTATGAATTCAAACGCGATTGACTTTTGGTGGAACTGGGACTATGCACGGACCTCAGCAATGGGCGTAATCTGCGACTACTTGGATGCAAGACCTGTGTTGCTTGGGCAGGGTTTATGATTATCATGCCTTAGTTGCACATGCCCTGTGCGAGCCCAGCCTGTGACATATACTGGGAAGAAATCAACTCACTACTGTTCCGACTATTCCTTCGGGTTACTAAATTATTAAATAAGTATAAATAAATAAATAGATAAATAGATAAATATATATATATATATGTATATATGCACACACACAATGTTTCTCAAGCCCTCTATTCCAATCATTAACGCCCGAGGGACAAATCATTAACGCCCCTATAGTGCTGCGCAAGACGGCCAGGACATAAGAGTGGACCATAGCCACCTGCCACCTCAGGCTCGGTTGCGGTGGGGGGGCGCATGGGGCATCTGGTTTGCATTCCTGGGCTTCAAGAGCCCTTCAGGCTCCGCTCGTGTATGTTACTGTATATCATCATGCAATACGATATCATTGATATCGATCATATTACACAACCCTGATTGTTGCATATATTTACGTATTGAGGTACCAGACGGTTACGATCAGGGTTGCAAGAAGGTTTCCTTATAAGGGTACCGCAAGGTTACCGGTATGGAGATGTTGAGCTGATCCTTACGTGACTACGCACTTCAGCAGGCCGTGTATGTGCATCAGAGAATTCACAGGCGCACCACACTAAACCCCAAAAGTCTAGTCCTACACACTATATCATATCATAGCCGAGGAAGCAACCAAAAAAGCTGCTGTAGCCTGGCCTGCCAGGTGGTGAGGAAGGCGAAAAAGACATTCACCCCGATGATCTGGGGAACGAAGATGCCTAAGGACTATAGCCACCCGGCTACAATGGGGGTTTGAATGGGGTTTAGGGTCAAGAGTAGCGTTTGAATTGATATCCCGTTAAAGTCCCCATATGTGCCTGCATACATATCCATTCGATGATAATATTTACATCACGTCTAAAAACTATTACCGTTGTCAAGTCCTCTATACTCTTATCGAATACCAAGGCCACAAGCTCTTGTTGATATGTCCTCACGCAGATGACTTTGCGACCCTTTTTACGTTGGAAGTGTAAACATAAACACAAACATACATACATACATACATACGTACATACATACATACATACATCCCTCCGCACGGCCGCGTCCATGTACAGTGTGTGTATATACATACAGAAGCATGTATGGACAAATCTGTAACGTTATGTTTTCCTTCCACTGTCTCGGACGCTTACTTTGTCCGCTTGTATGTATACATACACACACACACATATATATATATATATATAAGTACACATACATGTACACATACGCACACACACGCGCATCTATTCACTTGTCCAACCAATGTTCAGACCGCTAAGGCTTCTTTCATCTGGGAGGCGAGTACATCATGGGCGGCTTGGCAGACGGGTTGTCACCTCTGGTGGCTTTTTGTGATGCATGTTCGGCGCAGGGGGTGGAATGTCTCATGTCGGATAAGCTGCCGAAGTTTTCCTGACCCACCACTCCAACTGCTGTTCACCCGCGAAGTGCTCCGAAGGTTATAATGAGCCGGACCAGTGCCCTTGCAGCTTTGCCGGCTTGCGTGGAAGCTGCTTTACGAACAATAGTACATTGAGGCTCACTGCTTATGTCTGGGGGCATCGTTTCTGCGCGAAATGTCGATGTCGGTCCCGCTCGTGGGTTCTGCTGTTTGTCGCATGTTGCGCAAGTGGGAACTCACATCGCCGCCGAGACAGATCGCACCGGCTGAGAACATGATGGAGAGAAGGGATGCCCAAATCTGCAAGCATCGTCCTGAAGAGTGATTGTGGAATGGATACCACAACGAACCCACCCTGTAGGAACGAGTCCCGGCTGGCATCCTGCCAAACATACATTGCAGACAAAAGCCTGAGGTCAGAGCATGATCTTTCTGGGCGTCCTTTCCTCGTTTAGATAGGTGCTGTTCGTTGGTCGTCCTGATGTCTCTTCGAGCAGGTACGGCCCTGCCTGCGCTGGGGAGACAACCGCAAGGACCTTCGGCTGTGGTCACCCGACCTGCAAGCGAGATCTTTCGCGCTTTGATCGAAGATATGCGCAATGGGTCTAGAGTTGCTTGATATCATAGGGCTATCCGGCTTCGGCGGTTGAGCTGCCACAGACAGGTCTCACGCATCGAACTAGCCAGCATCTAAGGTGAGAAGGACTACAGACCAGCGACCAGCCCGGGGCTCACCGAATGTTTTGTGGGAAGGCTTCAGCAAGAATCACAAGCCGTTGTGGAGCCACTCCCATTCCCCCCATCGCAGCATCCTGAGGTGCGGGTTTCGCCTCCCTTTTTGACCCCGTGAAAGCTGCCACGGCCTGGCAGATTTTGGTGCAGCTTTGATGCACTCTTGATCATTGGAACAGCTATTGGAACTGATGGTGTCGGTTCCATTGAAAAGACTGGGAAAGGCATGGATCTATATAGGATGCACAATCGCGAACCCGAAACCTTCGTCCCGGACCCAACGGAGAATACAGAAGATTTCGGGCACAGACAGGGTGATTGAGTTTCTGAATCAAATGGCGGAGCCATGTAGAGGTCAGCCTTTCCCCCGCTCCGAAGCCAAAACAAGACAACATCAGCGCCAAGGACCAAGCTGGCGAGTGCTTCGGCCTCAGATCACAAATCAGAGATGACAATTCTGGGGGCTCAAGACAATGGAGGCGCAGCTCCAACTACTCTTGCGGGGAAGTACATTCAAATGCTGCAAGTGCTGCAAGACAGAAGCGGTGTTGGCATGGATAAGAGTTCTTCACTGAGCAAGCGTGTGGACACGTGGCACAATCCGACGATTCGACTAAATGCAGAAACTCCGCACAAGGTCGCCAAAGAAAGCGGAGGACCGATGCAGTGTGTGAGTGTGTGATTCTGCTTTCTGACCCTGCGCATGTTGTTCTGGTAGTCAGTTGTGACTCACTCCCCCCCCGCAGGAATCGCAGAAAAAACTGCAAGCACAGATCACGAGCCAAAACCATTGGCGCTGGACCCGAAGAAGCCCCCCTCCTTCCTACATCCTCAGGTCCTACGGTAGGGCCCCGTAAAGCTCAAACCCCAAAGTCTTGTAATCTGCACTGCCTTGCGAGCCAAGCCTGGCGAAGGTGCGAAACTTCAGGGTTTAGGGTGTAGGGCTCCACCAAGATCACAATGCTCCCAGCATGTAGTGAGTTTCTTCCATCCCCTACTCCCTGCATAACCCTTGAGGTGTTAGGCCCTTGCTTTCCACAACCCTTCCACGTCTTCGTTAACAGGGTCATCTCTGAAGTTTTGCATACATATTGCAGACATGATGTGCAGATTAATTGGTGTTATCTTTTAAAATGGTTAGACATTATCTTTTGCATCAGACTAGACCATGTGTTGTTATGGTACAAATAATAAGCTCTATGCTTGCAACAAATATTGTACGTATGATGAGCCAGCATTGCGCTAGGATCCGTGCGCAAGATTGCGGCGCCGGCTATGGCTCAGGCTTCGCCCTCAATGTGGTTTTCACCATGGCGATTGACTATCGAAACCACTTAGGTCTTGGGGACATAAGAGGAACTTATTTACGAAGATTGTTCTAAGGCTTCCAACGGCCAACCTGGAAGAATGTAGGTTTAGATGGCAAGGGTATTAACAGATTATGAACAGTCGTTCGAAGCCAATGTCAGTGTGTAGCAGCTGGCACGTCGAAGGGCCAATCGACATTGGACCCAACAAAGCACATCATTCGTGACCATAAGGCGGCCCAGCCGGAAGACGACTGCAGCCGAGATCCGGTCTCTGGGAGCATTTGGCAGTTTGCACAGCTGTTTTCCAGGCTGCTGTTGGATGTCCAAGTGTAGTGGCCTGGTGTTCACAAACTGCATGGCTGCGCCGTGCTCGTAGACTCCATCGCGACGTTTCCGTAAGCAGCTTTTGGTAGACGCATTTGCCATGCCGTTTGGCCACCAAGAGAATGTTTGACCATGAATGTCAGTGCCCTCAAAACGACAACCCATCGCAACTGCCTCCCGAAGCAAAAGTTAACTGATAAGTTTGTACATGCCACAAGCAGCACAAGCAGCACAAGCAGCACAAGCAGCAGAAGCAGTAGTAGGCGTGGGGAAAGCAGCACAAATAGCAGCTGCTATATGCACTAGAGTCTTGAGCTATTCCTATCATGCCTGAGTGATTGCCGCACGTTCCATCTAAGGTGCTACCAAACGCCACAAAGTATTGCCGTGGCTGGCTGCAGGCCTTCAAAGCCAAAGCTTTGAGTCTCGGCGTTACACTGCTGCCGTTTTGAAATTTTGACATTGTATAGGGGTCTTCATAATTCGACTAGGTTTTGGGGGTCAAGTGAATCGCCGCAGCCCTGAACCTAAACCCCGAAACCGCTGACCCTTCAAGATACGAAAACTCTAGCCGCGTGACCTAAGGACGCTGCAGTGTACCAGCCTCCATGGGCGGTTGACGAACTGCTGGGTCGCCCTTCTTGACTATCTAAGGGGTGCTTTTAGTGTTCATGGGAGTTCAGGGTTTTGGTCCAGGGGGTCTGAGGATGCCTCAGGATCTGCGCGACTGTTTAGGGCTTCTGTAGTTGTGAGCTCTCGCAAAATCCGGCTCTGGGTTCTTGTTCAGGATTTTTTGCCTAAGCTACCATCATGGGGATCTACAGTAATTACTATGTTACTATGGTTTCCTTATCAGGGCAACTTGAATTACATTTGTCAGAAAGAACTCAGGACTATATGGCGTTTTTCTCGAGAGATCAGCACTTTGGGCTCATGCCTTCCGAGGTGGTCCTGGAATGGTATGTAATACTGGTATTAGCAGTTGTATTAGTATGAGACATGGTGAATAGTTCAGTAGATGTAGCATTCGTATAGTACGCGCAATGCGGTTCGAAGCGTGATGCTGCTCTGTTTCTGTTGTGGGACCTGTACTGACATATAAGTTTGTCTTCATGGTGACTCACGAAACGCCGGCGGCAAATGGTTGCGCTCAGCCAATCCTCTGACCACTTTCGTGTTGATACGAATCTTGCTCAGGATGTTATTGAAGCGCTGCCCATCCACGCCTATGGCAGACGCTTTGGCATTGCAGTACTTGGCCTCTTCTCTTGGTCACAGCATACATTCGCAAGTGTAAGGCTGACGCGGTCGAGGGTTTTATGGCAATTTTTTATAGGGTCCCATCTGGCAGCCTGAGGATCTGCGAAAGAGATTAAGGACAAGCTCCATGAGTACCACAAGGCTCGCAAGCTCGGGCAAGGAGATATGTCTTCTCTCGGTGCCGCCTGTGGAAATCTAGGTTTGGCAGTATCCTTTATAATATTCTTTGTGCAAGCACGCCCTACCACGGAGGCATAAATATACGTACCCACGTCCCCAGTATTCCTTGCAAGACTGGGATGACAGCCTACGCAGCGTGTAACAGCTTTCTCGGGGCCCATGCGACAAGTCTGCTGAGCCCTTAAAGGCCTGCCTTCATGGCGCCATGCAGGGCCGAGGCTGTTTTTTCTTCTTCTTGCCATTACCAAAACCGTCAGGTACCTACTATATAGGGCCCTAGGGGCTCTAGTACCCTATATAGTAGGTACCTGGGGATTACCAAAACTTACAGGGTTCGCTGATGAAGGGCTTGGGACTGCGCCAGGTCTTCCTGGAGGATTTCCAAGGCACCTCCGGCAGGACGAAGAAGACGCTTTGGCTTACCGAGGCCCAGGACAGCCATGCCCATCCCCTAAGGCTCCATGTAGGAGCCTTAATAAGTACTTGTTCTGGGGGTTCCTTATTATAGTTATAGTATTATATACCCCAAACACTAATCTAATTATCAAGGCCTCTACATTACATAAAGTACACTTAGGCCTTTTAAGGTACCTATATAGGAACCCCTTTTAGGGCCCAGGTGTCTACTATATAGGCACACGGAGCCATACTGTAGGGATCATCATCACGACAAGAGCCGAATGTCGAATATTTGCACCTGATTAGTGTAGGGAGCCCCCCTAACCATCAAGGCTTGGGGGCGGGCCCCGGATTTGTAGTGGCTGCTAACTAAGTTGTAGCCGAAGTAGTAAAAGTAGCAGCAATGGCATCAGGAATAGTAGCATTGCTGGTAATAATTAGTATTCTGTAAGGGTCATAGCGTCATTAAAAGCTATTGCAACCTCCCAGAACGAATTTACGGGTTACCAGCAAGGTTTGCGAAGCTTTGCTTTATTGGGGGCCCCCACACTAATCACGAATGAACATCAAGAAGTCTTGGTCAACGCCAGCATCTCGCACGCATCGTCGCGGTCTCACCCTTGAAGCTTCTCATGCCGACTTCCCTTGTTGTAGAGAGAACCCAGGTCTTCTTTGGCTTCGAAAATTGAGTAGGCCGTTCTCCAGATCAGCTGATACGCGTAATGCGAGCCACTAAGTCTCAATCACAAGCTTCGCCTTCTCCCTTACGCAAGCATTCTCAGATGAACTTCCAGTCACGGAAATGCTTCAATGAGAATTCGGCCTTTAGGGTTTTGGTTCCGGGCCCTTTGGCATCACGCCACCAGTGACTCCCATCTTCCAAACCCTCGCAGGTGACCATGGGCACGAACGAGGCCGAGGATCTCGTTACATTCGTCGATGACCTGATGATGCCCGTCCGCACATGGCCGCGTGGAAGTACACAATGCATCCCAAGATGTGGTTCACGGGCTTTGGAGCTTGGGTGGGCGCTGAGGAACCCGACTACGGGCCTTCAGAATCGACAGCTTTTTGGATTTGTGGAGCGCATCAGCTGGCACTTTGTCTGCACAGGACACGCGCTCTGACATGTGCACGATTTTGGGGCAGAGCCGGTGGCAAGTATTACATTGCTCTGCGCCCCACGCATATGTTGAAGCCTTGGGCCGTGTATGTGTACGTCAGAAGCAGTCGACAGCTGCGTACAGCTGTGCTGAAGATCGAGCTGAAGATATTTGTTGAGGTGTCGGTTTCTTGAATCTAGTCGAGTTTCTTTAAACATAGCTTGTATACTTGGCTGTCTCGTGGCTTTTGTCCGGCCAGGCTCTCTTCGTCTTTTGTTGTTTGTGTTTTCGGCTCTCTGCCGCTGCTTTCAGCCCAGTCTCGTGTTATTGGACGGATGAAGCAAGCCTGACAGTGTATATGCAAAGCCTGCCTCGAATGCTGCTGCTAGTTCGGAGGTTTGAAGCCTTCGACACAGTCTCAAGGTTCTCCGAATGGAGCATGGGCGCGTTCACCCTGGGCTCTTACAAGCCACACAGCTACGAGGCCGAAGATTTCATCTTGACGCATTGTCGAAGTGTGGGCAGGAGAATGGCTTTGCCCAGGAGCCTCAAGCGTAGAGCGGTATAGCTTGTACCACCACGAACAAACCCGGGCATTTTCCTGCTTGGAACCCCCCATACACTTCGGATTCCAGGAGCATGCGCATATAACAGCAAACATAGGATTGCATGCTTATACACGTGAGTACAGACACGCATACAATATTTTTACACAGGTATACTTATGTATATATAAAGCATGTGCATACGTACGTGTACATGTTGATGTATATTTGTATATGTGTATGTGCGTACGTATGTCTGTCTGTCTGTCTGTCTGTCTGTCTGTCTGTATGTATGTATGTATGTATGTATGTCTGTAAATGTGTTGGCAGGCCTGGTCCTCGAGTCTCTTCGAGCCCACCACCGGCCGGTTCACGCCGCACGGGGCGCTCTTCGACTGAGCTTTTGCTTTTGTGTTTTGGTGAGGATCTGGACGACAGTTCGCAGCAGATGCTTACTTAAGTCTGAGTCCCGACCGGGGCCTGAACCCGAAACTGAGCTCCAGCAAAGGGTCTCAGATAGCTGGTAACTGAGACGACACGCACAGACTTTAGGTTGGGGTTTCAGCTCGCCAGAAGAACTTCGTAGCTGAGCTGTCAACATGTAGTCTTCTACTAGTCTATCTTTGATTACAATTGCCTTTGAGGCCTCTGAACAGCAGATTGAGTAGGACGATGCATGGATGAGCATGGATGGACGGATGGAGGGATGCATGGATGGATTGTGTACCTTTGTTGGGGCGTAGGTAGATAGGTAGGTAGCTAGGCGGGCAGGCAGGCTGGCTGGCAGGCTTGTAGCCATGTCTGCACGTATGCATGTATGCAATGGGAATGAATGGAAGTGAAATTTATTGTAATGTGCTGTTGTGCATTGCAACGTAGTTTAACGATAATGTGTTGGAATAAATGTTGGATGAATACACTGTAGTACTGTATTATAACGAGTCAAGTCTGTTTTTTGTTTCATAGTCACAAGAGCGCGGCGTTCAGTCACTGCAAAGCTCATCTCGGACAGTGGCTCATTGAGGCGGTTCATCCACTTTTGCCGTTGCTTGTCTGCACCGATGACCTGCACCCCACACGCCAGAAAATGCCAGAGTATGGTAAGCTTCATGGGAATGCCGTTTGCAAGCGTTACGACAGCATGCGCATTATGTTGCGAACTGCATGGCACGGGTACCATCCTCATTTCTGAGACTCCCAGACCATGTCAAACGAAATTCCGATGTAGCCGACCGCTGAAAAAAACGTAGCCTTGCCACCTAGTCCCGCAGTTGTCCAAGTATACAGAAGCAGTTCAATGCGACCAATGTATATGCTGCGATGAGCATTTCGAAGGAAATTTTGACAAGAAGTTTCCCCCGTGTTGAGCGACGTTCATCAGACATTGGTGTAGACTTAAAGAGTTGATGTCTCATGTTTGTGGGCTCCTAGTCGTGCTTGGTACCTATTGCCATCACTATTTGCTGTCGCTGTCCTTCAAGCAACAGCAACTACGACGAAGACGACGACCTGCCAGCACGGCTGCTACTGCGTGTCCGATTCGTCTTCTTGCTTCTGACACGGCAGGGCTCTAGCAGCATGCTGGCTCTGCCAAGGTGACAGTGGCTCTAGCCTGGCACCGCCTTCTCCGTCCAAGGCCCAGGCTATCAAGCAGGCTTCGGCATCGCACAGCAATTTTTCGAAGGCCAGCTATAAGCCACAACGGCAGCACAGGATAGGCAGATCAGTTAGACAACATGAAGATGCTCGCTGTTGCTTTTTAGGTCGGTGACAGCAGCGCCAGAGCGAGCGGAGCCGAAGACGAAAGCCAAGATTGCCTGGCACTTTGGTACCGCTTGTTTTTAAGGTCGTCAGTTTGCAGAATTCACGGACTGGAGACTTCTCTTGAACATGCATTGCAAGTCCATACTATTCCAAAACACACGACACATCGGAGCCTTTCCGGTACAGCGCTTGCTTATATGCAAGGCTCGAAGAACTTAGAACAACCCCGTCTTAAAGCTGGAATCAGCTTCCACCGAAATGAAACGGTCCGCACACCTTCGGTCTAGGTGCTTCGTCGAGCCTTTCGCTCTTTAAAATTCCATCCGACCCCATCACGTTTGGCAGGGCCGGTATGCTGCACACGTTCGACGAAGCTGTCTACGCCATGCGTGGTTGGGGGGCGTTCGGAATGCATCTGCAGTTGAGAGCGTCCGAGGTTCAAGGGGGAGGGCGGTAAGAGCTGCCCCCTGACTAGCTTCGGGCCGGGAAGAGCAACGTCCGTGACATTGTTGAGTGTCCTCTTTCATTGTTGTGACTCCTACAGTTATGAGGTATAACGTCTCATAGGTGCGCTCACATCAACGTGTGGTCGCTAGCAATCATGGAAGCCCCTCTTGGCCGTGCTATGGAGACCTACATCGGCAGCATAGTAGACAAGATCCGCGATCCGGCCTGGGAATCCCAAGGCTAGCAAAAGGGCAGTCACTTTGCATCATCTGGGTCCGAAGTCTCCTATCCACTTTGGTCATGATGCACTCATGTTCTCAAGCGTCGAAGTCAGATCTCCTTCGTCCACTGGGTCATGGAGCGTAGAGTAATGAAGGCCCGGCGGCCTAGGGGGGGGGACCCCAAATGAGCCACCCGCATCCGAACCGCCCTGTGTTGAAAGGTCATTTAGGGTTTCGAAGTAGTTAGATCTAGAGGTTTGAAAAGGCCGCCCTCGTTGACGAATCACAGGTCGTTGATTCCAGTCGATGATGTTTCGTTTGCAAGCTTCCGGCGGAGGGTTATCTTCCGCACAACTGCCAAGTTGGCTGCTTGCTCACATTTACTCAGATATATCATGGGGCCGATTCATGTTAAAATGGGCCTCCAGTCGACAGGACATAAAAGCCGCCACTCCAAGGGTCAAAGGAACCCGAACTGACGAAGATTTTTCCTGGTCTTGTGATGTCTTGTGAACGATGCTACTCCCTGACGGAATCAGAAATAAGCCTCAAGTTCTACTGATGAGTCGTTCTAGCGTCGGAGGCAGAAACCATCCAAAATCTTCGAACTTGGTGATCTTGGTAGCGTCCCACAGAGAGTACGAGGTGAAATTGGTTCAGCCAGTCTGCATGATCGGTCCTCGGCGTTTCACGCCTGTGCGCACCGACTTAGCTGTCCTGCCGGCACTGCATCAACAACCTGTCTTCACGAGGAAGCAAGATTATCACGGCAAGCTGTTAAGCACGCTCGCAAGCCTCGTCGGTCGGGAATTCCTATTAGAGATACTTTCCGCCCACAATCTTCAAGCCGAGAATGCCGTTGAAGGTTCTACGGCTTCTGAAGTCAGTGCGGCTCAAGCCGCAGCCGAGGCGGGGGACCCCCACAAAATTCGGGTTAGCAACTTTGGTAATTTAGTGGTGTTCTTTACTTCTTCAACCTTGTTCATTACTCACAGAACATGAATCATGATCGGGTTTCCCTTTCGGCGTAGCTTCGAGCATCGGGGGAACTCGCAGTTGGCAGTTGCAAGCCCTATACGCATCGCAAAGGTCATGAGCCATGGCTTTCTAGGCGCATTTATAAGGCTTAGCCACCGGAGTCGAAGCCCTCCGTCAGCATAGAACTTTCAAGTGGCCACATGTAAAGATGATCAGAGCCTGGGTTCAAACAAGAGCATGCAAAGTTGGGGGCCAGAGAAGCCTGCTGCAAAAAGGGTTTATGGGCTAGTCCCCCAGCCCAGTTGCCAGAACCAGCAGGGGTTTAGATGCTTTAGTCACGATCACGCCGAACTCGGTTCTTTGTCTCTTTGTCGACCAGAATAGTTTCCTGATTCGACCGGCATGCGGCACACTTTCAGGAGCTGCTTGATCATGCTCTGTCTTGGCCAATGTCCGTAAGCGCCGCCTTAAGCACAGATGGGCCTGAAACCCCGAAACCATCCGAAACTCTACAAAGGCATCATACGCCCTTTGGGCAAGTGTCGCGAAAGCAGGTGCCGATTCCAAGTCCTGGTCGTCTTGACTGGAGTGCCACTTCTGCAGTTCAGCCGTCTTCAGGAGCACGGGGTTCCATCGAGTCAAGCTTTGCCTCTTTGGTTTGCAAGAGATCTGGCATACATATAGGCCCCATAGTACTTCCCTTTTGGGGTTACCTTATAGGGTTCTATATATGAACCGCAAAAAGCAACTACTGTACTATGGGGCCTATGGGTACCCATCTAGTTGTCGGAGCGAGTACTAGACCTGGAACGGCAGCTGCGAGAGGTTTCAGGATCTGTGATCGCAAGGCAACACAGTGCCCGGCGCTGAATCAGAATCTTAGGGTTTAGGTTTAGGGTTGAGGGTTTCTGCTTCACGGCGACGGCAGTTCCGGGCGAGAGAAGCCTGCTGCAAAAGGGAGCCCTATACCTGGAAACCCTGAAAAGCCCCAAACCAGGTGATGCATATGACGAGCAGCTGCAGGAAGACACCTGGCAAGGATGTAGCTCCAACAGAAACCACGAGGGGAAGTGGAATGATTTTCGGTTTCTTGAGATACCGGGTTTAGGAATGGATCTACGAGGCATTTTGCAAGATCGCGGTTGGACCTGCTTGCTGCAGATAGGCAACAAGCTGCAGCATTCTTTGCGGATATTGGCCAAGGATGTATTTCTGGGCAAGCTTGAGATCAAGAATACGTTTTACAACATCCCTGTTGCTTCCTCCATGACGGAGGCGAGCTTTGCCTGGGAATGACACAGAGGGATCAGCTTTTCAAGCATGTGTGCATTATCATCTCACTTTATCTCCTAACAAGCAAGGACAAGCTTCTCTGATTGTTTACCTGCCAGATTCATGTCACTCCAGACACCAACTGGAAGTCGGCTCCTGCCGCCTTGGTACAGCCCCTCGGCCAGTTACAGCCTTTGTTTGTGGGATTCACTGTCGTCCTTAATGACGGGACCCCTGCGTGTCCGAGGAAAAATTGGCGAACAAAGTTTCCCGAGATGGAGGCCAGGACCCCCAATCACTCACAGGGCTCGTGGCTGTGATAGATCGTGTCTCAGTACGTGGTCAGAGTCTACACAACAGTCTGTGTAGGGTCTCTGGGCTTTGTTGTAAAGCGACAATGAGGCCGCTCACAACCGCGGTGAGTGTAAGCCTTGCGCTTACTTCCTCTACAAGACGGATGGCTGCAGGAACAGCAACTGGCCTCTGATTTCTGAGTTCCCATGGAATCTGCTCGTTGAGGCATTTCCAGTTGGATGCATGAAAGTCTGCCATCGCAAAAGGTTCAGATAGAATGATCAGACATCTCGCAAAGTAGAGGTCCGTAAGATCCGTACGCCTGAGGACCGAGGAGTTTTCAGGATGGTCTTTGTCTTGGATCAGGTTTGTGGCCTCTAGAGGTCTGGGATCCAGGGCGTTGAGAGTGGTCAGCTGGAGCAGTGAGTAGTGGTCTCTGCATGTTGCCAGTGTGTCGGACGCCAGATGACACCCGCCTAAGGCGAAAACTGCCCGTACTGCCACCTGTGTCGAAAAGGGGCACCATGGTCGCAGATCAGCGAACCTTCAGTCCCGAAGGTGAAGCTAAGGAAGTTCCTGTTCGATCAGATGAAACGGTTTAAGCTGGCTGGTTCACCTTCAGAACTTGGTCAGTGCGTAATCAGTGCGTACAAGCTACTCAGTGGTGCGACTGCAACGATATTTCGCAGCTTCCAGGGTACCCAGCGGTAGCACATCTGGGTCTGCGAAGTCCGTGGAGAGCGGCAAATATCGAAGACCCACACGAAAGAATTCGAAACCCCCCCGCAAGGAGATCAAACGTCGGAAGCGCCAAAGGGCAAAGCAACTGAAAGCTGCAGCGGCCTCGGAGGCGGGGTTCTGCTGGCCCAGCTTGGACACCTTCCAGCACACATTTTGTCATGATCGTTAGAACTTGCATTTCAGAAGTCTCGGTGTTGCCGTGGCGGTACCCATTGCTTAGTATAGACGACACAGATGCATGTGGAGCTGCGGCAGGCACATCAAGCTGATGAGTTGGACGGCTCAGACTGACCTCTGGGAGATGGCTGGGCAAAGCAGCGATCGAGCTTTGGGGGTCGTTCATCTCCAATATTAGTCCTTAGGGTCCCTGTTTATATGTATAGTCAAAGTAGTAAGGAGCCCAAAACCCTATTCTAACCATTAAGGCCCCTACATTGACCCAAACCCGGAGAGCTGGTAAAGCAAAGGGGTGGATTGGACTTCGGTTTGGCAGCAGCTGCTAAGTAGTTCGAATCAGCAGCATTTGCTTAGCTCGCTTGCTTTCTTCGCAAAAAGAATCTGGGCAACAATTTCCGGCAGTGTTCCGTCATCTCACATGTCGGATACTGAGATGCCTGCAGGGTCAAAGCGGCATGATGTGTAGACAGGAGTGAGGGTGAAGGCCTGCGAGCAGTCTTCCGGAGTGTCCTTAATTCTTTGCTGCATCATCGATTGGGGAATCTCACGTCAACCAACACCCCCTTTCCAAAGCACTGGGCACTGGTTTTCCAACTGCCGCAGTTGACAGAGGGCTCGTGGTTGCCGTGGGGCCCCTCTTTCTCAGTGTTTGCCTCCGCGTTCGCATCCTTCCCTCGCCGAGCGCGTTGACGAAAACTGCAGAAGAGTCGATTATAACGGTTCCGTGGTTATGCTCCTGGTTTCATTGCTCCTGACCAGCATATAGTTGCAGTTACAGCTTACAGCAGCATAAGAAGGATGCGACATCGGAGGTGTATCCCGGACCTGGTTCTCCCTCAAAGCTCGGAACGCTGAGCTGCAGAGTCCACAGTGAGAATCGAAACATCATTGTGTAATTTCGCAATCTTTTTTTGGGGACTCTGGTGTGGAGGCTTGTGCATTTTTGCAGACTGGTCCGGGTAGTTTTTGCCCTATCGATCGCATAGAGGAGGAGTATCCACATGCACTTCCCTTGATGGGATCCGCGCCTGGCTAGGATCGTTGAACCTTGCATGCTGCAGGAGGGAGCTGCAGGTAGCTTTCGACCTAAAATGATCCGGATCAATTGCTTGGAAGGAACCCTTTGTTGTTTCCCGGCCGCTGTCAGTGCTGGCATGGATGGATGGACAAAGGATGGGTGGATGCCTGTAAAAATACATACAAAGGCAGACTCTTACGGAGAGACGGGTGCATATACACTCCCCGTCTTCAATACATGTTGTGCCTTCGTTAGAACAGCAGAGTCACGTCCCGCTATGAGATGTTCCTTTTGACTTTTGCGGCATCACGGATAGCGGCTGAATTCTCCCAAACCTTGATACTAGACCCTTGCGGGACAATGCATTACTCCTTGAAACCCCAGCCTATACTCTATAACATCCTACAGTGCTAAGGCCAATACCCCATATTACCTTGTAATAACCCTATATTACCGTACAGTACCTTATAGTACCCTATACTACCCTGCAATACCTCATATTACAGTCTAAACCCCAGTATCAACCCTCGCCAGCGCCGTGGCACCTTCGAGGGCAGACCGGCAGAATTCGATTCGCGCTGGGACGCTTGAAGTTGAAGGCTCATTGGATTCAGAGCTTATAACCCTAAACCCTACCAGTGTCGCTATAGACCTTGCCAGGCTTGTCCGAGTGTGAGTGTCGAACACCCTTATAACTTCAAGGGTTTAGGGTTCAAGGGTTTGGAGTCGAGAGCATGCTTGGTTTCAAGAAACAAGGTAGGGCGCAACCCCGCTAGTCTTACTGGTGCTAGGGTTGTTGCTAGTGCTGTTATTGTTGAGATGATTACACTAATTATCATTAGTATTATCATTAGGATTATTAATGTTATTCGTGCTATTTCTGTTTATGGTTACTATTGTTGCTATTGTACTTAGTGTTATTATGGTCGTTATTATTGCCGTTTTCTAGTTTCAATACTGAAGTGACAGTTCTTGTGAGAAGACATAGGGCCATGTGGGCACCGACCCTGTAATGAAGAAGGTTCTTCGGAGGTGAAACCAGCAGGTCTGCGAGTTCAAACTCCGCATGCCGTCAGTTGAGGCAAGATTCCACAAGGCTATCGTGTCTGTGTCTCGTGAAACGATCGGGCTCTCCCGCTGGAGCCGACTTTGGATATCTGGGCATGAGTGCACAACTTTGAGCACAGAGTCCAACAGTGGACAGCAGTCTTTATGACTGCAGAAAAGCAGTGCTGCAGCGACTTGTTTGGTGAGACCGGCTCGATGCACCGGGGTCTGCAATGGTGATTTGAACTCCATAAAGCACGACATGCGGGCAGCTTTGCAGTTGGTCGGTGCAGTTCTCATGCTCGGCAGTTCTGGGAAATGCATTCTCAAAGCCTGCATTCAGCCAAAAGCTCCGAGGGGTGCAACTCCGAGTGGTTCTATCGTGGGGTTCCTGCAAGGACAGGTGCAGAGAGACCTGGTCGGCGCATCCGGAAGCTCCGTTTTCGCTTTAAAGGGCACCTGGTAGTCTGGTGCCTAACCCCCCGCTGCACGAAAGCGGGCTCTCCAGGGGTCCGACGCCTCGCTAGGACGGTGATAGGTGTGGGTGTAATTGGTGTTGCTGGTGCCCCCTTAATTACCTGGCTAATCCTGGTTAGTAACCCTATGCTTGTCCCTTGTCGTTATCACTATGACTTCCCAGGCTGCATCTTGTCGTACGAGTCTTTCTTACTCCCGCGTTGCAGTTACAGCAAGTTGTTGCAGTGCGGCAACTCAGCCGCCATTGAACCAGATTCGAGCCCCAAAAGAAAGAGCATTTTCTCCCGTGTCATGGAGTCATGGAGAATACGGTCAGCATTTTTGAAAATATGTTGGGCCCCTGGCGATTATGCAGCGTGTTATGAAGACAGACTTGCGTTACGCCGTTACACCCGCCATGGAGGAAAAAGGGATGCGAGCTTCTTTCGCTGACTTCGTGACAGGGTGGGCCTAAACAACTACCTACAGTATTCCTTAGGGTTCCTTTATTATACGTATACTATAATGGACCCCAAAACCCCATTCTATATAAAGGCCCTTATGTAAGCCTACTCTACTACTCGACCCGCTTCCCAAGACTTTGCATCAGACCGGAAGCTCCCGAGCTGTGACCTTAGTCACTTCCGGGCCTCTCAGGCCCCGTGCTCTGTCGGCAGCGTGGTACCGTGTCCTGGAGGCGGGCTTTGGGTGTAGGGCAGCTGAACTTGTTGATGGCTTCGTAAACCCATCGGAGCAGGTCCAATACTCGACGCTTAAGGACGTCAGCAAAAGCACCAGAGTCTGCTCCAGTCTGAAGACAAATCCAGAGAAGGCCCTAGCACAGACTGCCCATTCATTCCCCAGCGCTTAAACTGGACCAGCTGGACGGCACTCTTGGCCGTTAATTGTGAACGGGTCAAAAATCGCTGTGTGCTTTCCCGGGCTGTGCTTGTTGTGCAGTTTCTTTTGCATTCGCCGACTGTTTCTTGTGTGGAATATTTGGTACTCTGCATGTTTGCAAGACAAACTCTACTTGCCATGTACTAAACCCTAAACCTGAAACCCCCAAAGCGAAACCTTACAGTGTTTTCACCTGCAGACCTGTGGACATTTGTCTCACATGGAGAGTCATGAGTCCGAGTTTGAGTGCCGAAACTCTGAAATAGTGTTCTGAAGTAATGAATGTGTGTATAAAGCATATTGTGTGCGTGTATGTACGCACACACGTATGAATGCGCATATGTGTGTGTATGGAGGGAGGCAGGAAGGGAGGGAGGGAGGGAGGGATAGATGGATGCATGGACGGATGGATGGATGGCTATACAATCTGTTAGGGCTTTACATCTACAAGTATATAGTTTATGTGTGTATACATATATAGAGAATACCAGTACTCTTACTATCACCCTTTAGACGGCAATAATAATAATAATGAAGATGGTATGGCTATTGCTGTGCTATCAGTATAATGTCTGTGTAGTTTCATGTTTTCCATTCTTAGTGCTATACATGCTTTATCTATGTAATCTCGTATTCTAGGTTAGTGCATGATGTTACTGCATTATATGTCTTACGACTTTCTATGATTATGTACCAAAGTTTTAAAGCGTGAATACCAGCACATTGTATCGTAATGCACCTTGTAGTATAATGTTAGTATACCCCATTACTCCACCTTCGATTTATGACATTTAACTCCGTTATGTTGAATCGTAACAGATCAGGTCCTATCCTATCCTATCCGAGTCTATTGGTTTACTTTATCTTTTGTCTGACGTTTTGCTACCTTGCATTCTAGCTACATCATATGATGTGTGCGAGCTAAAGAATATGATGTTATGTTAGTTAGACGATTTCATGATACTTCATAATTTTTGTTTCCAGTACATTTTGCTATAAAAGATTTTGCTCCGTTCTAGTATTATGTTATATTGTATTATTTCAACCTATACCAGATCCTATTCTATTCTATTTTGATGTATTGTGTTAAATTAAAGTTATATTCTAGCTGTTCTAATTCGAGAGAGCGAGAGAGAGAAGTCGCAGACGACGAGGGGTAGGTCTTGGGCCACGGGGCCTCGGTCCCGCAGGCAAGAAACAAAGGGAGAGAGAGAGGGAGAGATCCCGTCTGAGAATGTCGGAAAAGCGCTGGAGGCGAGGGCTCCTGTGCTGGGAACCTTGGCCGCAGCCCGATCTCATGGCGGAATTCCCCCTTTCGAACATATAGAGGGCTAGATACTATAAGATAAAAATTCCAGTATAGTGCCGAATATATTATGGTTTAATCATACGCCGAGACCTGAGTTAGTCTGACTTGAAAATCGTCCCGCGAGTGAGAGATTCAACGGGCATCAGCGCTCCCAATGTTTCGCTGCAGTTCAGGAACCAATGCTGCCCAGACGGCTGCTAGGCTGCAAGGATGTTCACAACCAGTGCCTCCCCAAAGCAGTTGCCAGAGATGAGCATTTGGACACTTTTGCTTTCTTTCAAGGTTCAGCCTTTTTTACAGGACCTTGCCAGAAACAGTCTCCCCAAACACCTTGCTCACAGGTCAAATTCGGTGTCTCGGTACTAGCTAAGGAAGTGCCTGTCC